ATCGAAAGCAAACCAATAAACAAACCAGGCAATTACTGATAAAAAAAAATACTGGTAAGTATGTAAGAAAGGTATAAACTTAGCTTTGCAGGAAACAATATTTTTATGGTATTAATAATGTTAACACAGACTGCTTGATTTAGAAAAAAACTGAGATATAACTCTACTGGAAGGATGATGGCAGGAGAAAAGGTACAAAGAACTAAATAAATCCTTATTTACCATAACAGCTAGTCAACAGATGAAGTAGAAAATTGTCAGATCAAGAAACAGGATTATCAACACATTAATCAGGCATGGAGGCAAACAGAGAGGAAATTACTAAAAATAATCGAAAATGGTAGCCTATACAGTAAGGATTCTCAAATCCTTACTTTTAACATGAGTAAGAATCACAGTTTCCTGGGCCCCATCCTCAGATACTCTGATTCAACAGGTTGGGGTGGACCCCATGAATATATTTTTTAAAAATTTTATTGGAGTAAAATTGCTTTACAATGTTGTGTTAGTTTCCGCTCTACAATGAAGTGAATCAGCTATATGTATACCTATATCCCCTCCCTCTTGGACCTCCTTCCCTCACTGGTGATGCCAATGCTGTTTACCCTAGGTCCAAACTTTGAGAACAACTGCTACAGGAAGTAGAACTAAGGAGTTAGAAAGGAAGGCAAAGGACACCTGTTTTTCATTATAATTATTTTAGTACAGTGATTCCCAAACTTGGCTGCTCATTGGAATCACTTGGGGAGCTTTGAAAACTAGTGATGCTGGGTCCCATCCCCAGATGCTGTAATGTAATTGATCTGGGATGTAGTCTGGTGTTGGTAGTTCAAACAGCAATCCAGGTGATTTTAATGAGTCTAAAATGAGGGACCACTTGTTTAGTATAATTTTATTTTTAACTATATGCATAAATTTAAGTTTTAATATAGCAGTAAATATCTGTGTGCACGGGAGAGAGAAGAATACAAAACTGAAAGTCAGAAGATGTGGGATCATGTCCGGTATGATCTTCTGCCATGAACCAGATCTCTGTCCTTGGGAAGGTCACCTAATCTATATGGGCTTTAGTTTTCTTATATGCAAAATTGGGATGCTGGACTAAACATTCTCAAATGTTCTTTCCAACTTCACATTTTTTTGGGTAATAGCTATAATGTCCTATGCTATAAAATCTGAATTTTTAAAAAGTATGCAGCAACAGAAATTCTCCATATGATGTTATGAGTGATTATTATCATTCTTTATTTAGTGATTATCATAAATATTTTCATTATGTCTTTTAAACTAATTACTTTTCATACATACATATCATGATTTTCCCCAGTACGTATTTACTGTACTCAGTACAATAATCGGCTCACCCAGGGAAATAAAGATCAAAACAGTTGAGATGAATTTATACTTGATGGCAGAGCAGGACATCATTTCATTTCTCCAAAACAACATTTGCTAAATTGCATCCAAGAAAATGATAAAAAGCTCACTCTTGGGTTACTGTGAGTTACTTTCCCACTAGTGATGATGTGGAGATCCTGATCCTTCTACTGGCTCCATACCTCTTTCTACCAGCAGCACCTACTTGTCTGCCCTCGGCTAATTTTTTTTTTTTTTTTTTTCCAGTACGCGGGCCTCTCAGTGCTGTGACCTCTCCTGTTGAGGAGCACAGGCTCCGGAAACGCGGGCTCAGCAGTCATGGCTCATGGGCCCAGCCGCTCCGCGGCATGTGGGATCTTCCCGGACCGGAGCACGAACCCGTGTCCCCTGCATCAGCAGGTGGACTCTCAACCACTGCGCCACCAGGGAAGCCCTGCCCTCGGCTAATTTTAAGGGAGCAATACGTGGTCATAAATTCAGGGAAAACAAAGCAATTGATTAGAGTGGTGGCTAAGCTCCTAGCGACTCATTACTGAAAAGCCTTACCCTGATTATCCTAGAGGCTTATGATAATGGCTGTCAATTCTCAATCACGAATAATAACAAAGGGAGACGTGGGGAATGAGGATTGATACAGATAATTCAAGGAATTTTATATTGAGTTTAGAATGCACTATATACAGAGAACTTTCAATACGCCTTCGTAATTACGTTTTCTTTAAAATAATTTAAAATCAGCTTTCATTTCTTGAGTCAATACAGGTAACTATTATGTAGGTAGAGAAGAAAACCTGGTCTGAAACAAAAAATCAGTTGTGCATAATTACAGATGAAGAATGAAGATTAAGCTATTTATAAAACTAAATATATTTGTGTGCACATGTGTTTGCCTGTGACTTTGACCGTCTGCCTTTTAAGGAACTTTTTTGCCCAGATGGAAACCGGAAGCTATAGTAATCTAGTGCTGAGACAAAAGGTGAACTCTAAAATGAAAGGTCAGAGCCATGTGTCATGATTTTGCAGGTAGTTAAAAATGAACTGAGAAGTCACCATCTGGTGGGAGGCATCTTAGGGAAGCAGCTACCTTCTGTTGGGCATAAATAGAATGAAACTTGTTGAGCTATTTATTCTTAGATAGTTGTAATCATGTGTTGCTCCTCCACTGAAATGTGCCCATCTTACTATCTCACTTTTAGAATGGATATTTTTAGCTAATTCTGGGTTAATGTAATCAATTGATTTGTGCTAACCGAAGTTCAAAAGATAGTCTCCTCTTTCAATCCCTAAGTTAGCCTTAGCTTTCCAGGTAAAATATGAACGTGTTATCAGAAGTTAGACCCTTCTTGTCTATCCTACTAGAAACACTAATTGAGAAATTTCAGTTAAAGAAGGAAAGCAGCTCAGCACCAAGGAGAAGAAAGATCAGTGGGCTAGTGGAACCTTACAACATTATCTGCAATCACAGCATCTATGTATAAGGTCTAGAAAATATACATCTACTTCTAAAAAGTTGTTTATATGTGAGTGGAGGTTTCAGCTCTGTTTTCTGGCAGAAAAACATGGAGTGTTATTCTAAATAACTCGAGAGAGAATTATAAATAACATAAAAAAGTAACCTGCACAATAAATAATAATGCTAACTCATATTTGTATAGTATTTTACAAGTGCTTCAACAATAATGATCTTATTCCTCATAACAACCTTGTGAGGTAGGTAAAATGTGTAAAATTTCAATTTTACATATGAAGAAACTGAGATTCAAAGGATTCAAAGAGATTAAATGGAATACCAGCAATGGTATATAGTTAGTCAATACATGGTGGGAAGAGAGAGAGGTGAAAGGGCTTGCATTCAAGTGACTATAATAACAACTACCATTTATTGAATACTTACTATGTCCAGTCATTATGTTAAGCATTTGTAAGGATATTATTGCATTATAAAATATTATTACTTCTTGGACTTCCCTGGTGGCACAATGGTTAAGAATCTGCCTGCCAATGCAGGGGACATGGGTTCAAGCCCTGGTCTGGGAAGATCCCACATGCCACTGACTAACTAAGCCCACGCGCCACAACTACTGAGCCTGTGCTCTAAAGCCCATGCACCACAACTACTGAGCCCACATGCCACAACTACTGAAGTCTGCGTGCCTAGAGCCCATGCTCCACAACAGAAGCCACTGCAATAAGAAGCCCGTGCACCGCAACGAAGAGTAGCCCCCGCTCGCCGCAACTAGAGAAAGCCCGCGCAAAGCAACGAAGACCCAATGCAGCCAAAAATAAACAAATTAATTAATTTAAAAAAATATTATTACTCCTTAAAGCCCACAGATGAGTATCTACTAACAAAAGGGAAATAAAAAATAGACTTGCAAAAAATTTTAATTCAGCAAAATAATTTAAGGCAGATAATGATAACTATCATTTGCTGAATAGCTACTATTTGTCAGACACTGTGCTAATAAGCACTTATATTTTATCTAATTCTTACTACCCAATAAGGCATATAATATTTATCTCATGTACACATGAAAAATTTGAGGCATAGAGTGATTAAGTGACTTGCCTAAGATCACACAGCTGGTAAGTGATGGAACATTCTAATATATGTCAAGTATTGAATAGTACCCAATATCTGGTTACACATGATTTTTCCCTCTTTAAATGACTTTCTGTCATGAAAACTCACATATCATAGACTTACCTATATTTCTGGTATTTAAAACAATTTATTTGTGCTTATCACTTTTTAAGCTTTTCAATGTGAGTTCTTTCTCCTATCCTTGGGTTAAAACTCAGGCAGGCCCCATATTTTTTCTGGCCACCCTTAGGTAAAGTCCTATAATCACAAAGTCTGAGTACAGTTATTATAAATGTCCAATAACAGATAATAATCAAAATGCCAAGATTGTTTTAACATTGGAAACTTCCTGCCTCTCCCAACAAGCGCCTGCTGCAGGCTGGACACATGCAAGTTGGGAGTGAGTACAGTCCTTTCTTTCCTTGGTCCTCTTCCCCTAGTTTATTAACTATGGTTTCTGATTTTTCTGTTTCCACCAGTTGAAGTTGGGATGGGGACAGAAGAAGATATAAAAGAAATGAGAAATTTCTTATATGGCTACTATTATTGTAAGGTGGCTTTGTGTTCTCTGGGACTGGAAGATATGTAACTTTGACTTTTCTTCCCATGGGATATATTTATTGGCTCTTTGGAAATCTCCAACCCCGTTAAGTGCCTCTCAACTTCAGTTCCCTTGATCCACATGGATGGATGTTATTCTGGCAGTTAGTTACTCTCTTGTAGCTCCTAGAATCTGCAGCACACTTTTACTTCCGTCCCTCATCACCCCTCCAAGTAACACTATTGAACAGAATCTAGTTTGAATGTTAATGCTGGCTGAGGCAGATTGCCTTTAAAGCTAGTTATAATATTTGCCCTTCATCCCATTTCATTTTTGCAATGAGAGTTTTTTGTTTTGTTTTGTTTGCGGTACACGGGCCTCTCACTGTTGTGGCCTCTCCTGCTGCGGAGCACAGGCTCCGGATGCGCAGGCCCAGCGGCCATGGCCCACAGGCCTAGCGGCACGTGGGATCCTCCCGGACCAGGGCACGAACCCGCGTCCCCTGCATCGGCAGGCGGACTCTCAACCACTGCGCCACCAGGGAAGCCCTGCAATGAGAGTTTTACACTCCTCCCATGAAGAACTGGAGTCTATTTCCCTTCCTTTTGAAAATAGGATGGTCCCAATAAGATGTGGCAAAAGTGATGCTATGTGACTTCCAGGCCTAGACTTTAAGAGATGTTGCAGCTTCTGGGTTTTATTTTTTGTTCGTTTTGTTTTTGTTTTTACCCTTTTGGAGTCTGTCATCATGTAAAATAGTTCAATTTTTCAGCTGGAGAGAGAGGTTTAGCCAGACCCCAGGTGTTCCAGCCATGCCAGATGAAGTACCAGGTATGGGAGTAATGACAATTTAAATCTTTCAGCAACACAGAGCAGAGGCAGCCCAGCCAACACAACACAGACAAGCCAGCCCTGAGCCCTGCCCACATCACACAATTGTAAGCAAATAAATTATTGTTTTTATTTCAAGCTTCTATATTTTGGGGTATGTTTTATTTACTTATTCTTTTTTAGCAGTACTATATAACTGATACAAAGGCTATCCGGTTTACAGTAAGCACACATGTATTCCTTACCCCAGCATACTCTGAGAGAACAGACAGCTTTCCTTCATTCTGCTGCTAAAGTTGTTGATCAACCCATCTTGCAGATTTCCCAAGTAGAGTCAAACAGCCATCCAATAAAGTTAAACATACACTTAACATATTGTCCCAGAAACCCCACTCCTAGCTCAAGAGAAATGAGGGCATGTTTACAAAAGAGATCTATAAGCAAATGCTTAAAACAGCTTTATTCATAATTGCCAAAACCTGGGAGCAACCCCCAAATTTATCAACTGGGGAATAGAACAAATTCATGTATGAAACAACATGAATGAATCTCAAAAGTAATATGTTAATTGAAAGAAGGAAGATGAGAAAAGCTACATACTATATGATTCTATTTATATGACATTCTGTAAAAGACAAAACTATAGGGACACAAATCAAATTAGTGTGTGTTAGTGGCTATGAGTAAGGGGAGAGAACTGACTACAAAGCAGCACCAGGGAACTTTGGGGGATAATGATGTGGTGTTATTAACATGACTGTATACGTTTATCAAAGCTCATAGGACTGTTCACCTAAAAAGAGGTGAATAGTAACTGTATATAAATCTCAATAAACATTAATCAATCAATTAATTAATTAAAATAAATCCACTATGCCCTTCAATCACATAAAGCTATCTAAATGGCTGGTCCCACTGAAGCCCTTTTCATTGGACATTAGTGCCAGAACCCCTACCCCAATCCTTTTGGATGACAGAGGTTGGTAATCACAGCACAGCATAGCTCTAAGTTAATCATCCTCAAAAATCTCTTCGACTGTCCGAAAATTCAAACCTTTTATATTCTTAACATGGGTGAATCATCTAATTTATTATTAGCTATTTCCTTTGAAAACTTGCATCTGGATTACCATATCCTTTGGAATGTGCACTTTCTAAGACACCTTGTATCTTGGTGTCTAATTGAAACTTTTGATCTAATATTCTTTCACATATATTTATACACATTACTGTAAAGTAACACTACATAGAGAAACCATTATTTTCATGTCAATTGCTAGGAAATACTTATCTACCCACATATTTACCATTTGAAAAGCTCGTCATTCTTTCCTAAAGATCTGAATTTCCACCTGTTATCATTTTCCACCTGCCTGAAGAACTTCTTTCTGCATTTCTTGCAGCATGGGTCTACAGGCAATGAATTCTCTTGGTTTTCTTTTATCTGAAAACGTGCTTGTATTGCCTTCATACTGAAGGATTTTTTTTTTGCTGAGTATAGAATTCTGGGTTTTCTGGGTTTTCTTTTAGCACTTTAAATATATTGTTCCTCTGCTTTCTAGTCTCATTGTAACTGAGAAGGAGTCAGCAGTCATTTAAATTGTTCTCCTGTACACAGTGTGTCATTGTCTCAGCCCTCTTTCAAGATTTTCTCTTCACCTTTGGTTTACAACACTTTGACTGTGATGTGACTAGATGTGGCTTTTCTTTGGACTTCTCCTGCTTGAGGCTTCCTGAAATTTCAGATGCTGTAAATTTCTTTCTTTCACCAAATAGAGAAAATTTCAGGCATTATTTTTTCACATATCTTGCTGCGTCCATTTTCTCTCTTCTCTCCTTCTGGGATTCCATTTACAGAATTTAGACCTTTGGATATTATTCCTCAGGCCCTTGAGGCAGTTAATTTTCTTCAGTGTTTTCTCTCTGGTCTCCAAGTTGTATACTTTCTATTGATCTATATTTGAGTTCATTAATTTTTTCTTTTATCATATTCATTTTGTGACAATCCCATTCAGTGAATATTTTTATTTCAGATACTGTATTTTTTAGTTCTAGGATTTTTATTTTTTATAGTTTCTAGTTCCCTGTTGAGATTTCTTATCTTTTCATTCATTACCAGCATATTTTTCCTTACATCCTTGAGCAGAGTTATAATAGCTGCTTTAAAATCCTTGTCTGATACTTCCAACATCAGTGTTTTTTAGAGCTCAGGCTTTGATAACTGTCTTTTCTCTTTAAAATTGTTTATGGTTCCTGTTTTTTTTCATTAAGTAACTATGGGTTGTATTTTAGACGTTGTGAATGATGTGTTGTAGAGAATGAATTCTTTTATATTTCTCTGAAAAATGTCAATTGCTTTAACAGACACTTAACTTGGCTGGACTCAAGCTACTAACTCTCTCCTGCAATAGGCAGAAGCTTAAATCACAGTATTTGTTCTTTTAAGTTTCATTGGCCTGCATGAGTCTGCCGCAAGCAGCTGTGATTCAGGGGTCAGCCAAGAATTTGGGAGGAGTTTATACATAGAATTTGAGGCTCTCTCTTTCCAGAACTCTCCTTTCTTGGATTTCTTACCTCAATTTCTAGTGGCTGTAGTTGCCCTAAATTCTGTCCTCTGGTTCTTCAGTAAGTAAGACTGTAGGTTTTCTATTGGATTTTTTAGCCTCCCCATCTGGTGAAGACTTGGGTCTGCCCTCAGTGTAAAAGCTAAAAATGAGAAATTCACCGTGTGCTGTTCCCTTCATCCAAGAATTAACTCTCCTCCAGTATCTGCCGGCTTTGGGCCATTATCCAATTCCATCAGACAGTTGATTTAATGTTTTGTCAGGAGTTTACAGTTGTTATCTATAGGAGATTTGATTCAACAGGCACTACTCAGCCATACCAGAGCTGGAAAATGTGTGCTAAATATGAATTCAAATGTTAGAGCCCTCTCACACTCCATGATATCCACATATATAATCTCCTTACAAAAAAAAATATATATGAGGGAGGTATTATTTTCCTCATTTTATAAATAAAGAGATGTGGCTCAAAGAAGTTAAAGAGACTGGCTTTATGAAACAGGGTCCAGGAGGGAAACAGAATTTAACTCAGATAGTTCAAAAGAAGATTATAATAGACTACCTACAGAGATATAGGCAAAGTTAGGGAAACCAAAAAGAATGCTGAGGCATCCAGAGATTAGCAACAAAGAAAAGCTGTTGCTACTCCCAAGGCAGAAAGATCCATGGGAGGAAAAAAATGTGACCAGAGTCCCAGGAGAGCTGAAGTCTCATAGGAGGAACTGTCATGCATGAGTTGTTGCTATAGAGGAATAGTGCCACCACCAGAGAAGCTTTGCTGAGGCAAGGAAGAAGACCTGGTGCCTCTCTCCTCCTATTGTCTACTCTCCTCCCAGTTCCTCCCACTGGCTGAATTCAACAATAAGCCAACTGGCATGGAAATACAGGAAATAAGAGATCAAGGAGTCAGCCTCCAGGAGGGACACAGAGTAGGGCAGAATAGGGGGATGCATTTTGGCAGACTATAAATAACCAGCACACTTACCTAAAATAGGTTTGCCAGACTCAGGAAATAGTAACACAGTATGCCCTGTTAAAGTGGAATTTCATAGTTTAAAAAAAAGTAATTTTTTAGTGTAAGTATGTTCCACGTGATGGGGTATACTTAAAATGAAAAATTATTCCTTGTTTACTTAAAATTCAAATTTAACTGGGTGTCAACTTAGCCTAGACCAGTAAGTAAGAGAACCTTATTTTGAATCCACACCTAAGATACAATCATAGTAGTCTTCTTTTTACCATCTCACAGCTTTTTTATATTTTACATGCTTACTTTGTACAAGTATATCTCTCTTACCAGACTGGACGTTCCCTGGGGAGAAAGACCGTGTCTTATTCATCTGTATATCTTATTATTTTTCATCTCCTCCAACCTCATTCCCAGAATTTTGCAATGTCTTATACATAGAAGGTGCTTAATACATTTTTGTTTAGCATGTTGAGCCCTTTTTGAGTATTTCATTGAATCTGATTTTTCACTATCTGTTTCTTTAAAATACATTTCTGCTGAAGTCACATATTGACCGAAATGAAAGTCTGATGTCAGGTCAATTTTCATAAGTATTCGGAGTCCATTTTCTGCCTTTTCATCACTTCCTCTTAGAACTCCATAGTGACCATATAACAAAACTATTATCCAGGCATCTTGCTACTCAGGTTTTATGAGGTTTCTCTGAATCAAGTGACTGAGCACTGGGTCAACAAAGACTAAACTGAAAAACAAAACAAAAAGCCTTTAAAAATGTATTCTATCATCAAAGCTACAAGGGAGAAAAAAAACCTGCTCTACTATAAAAGACTTCCAAATCCCAATAAGACTACATTCCTGAGAATAAAAGCTTACTTTCTCACTGATTTTTTAAAATTCCATTGTTTATTCTCTAATTCTGGAGCAAGTTATTAATAGATAATTTCTTTCAGGATAATTTGCTGGGTTCTAGTATTTATTATTAATGAGCTTTTGCTCATTGTGTGTGTGTGTATATATATATATATATATATATATACATACACACACACACACACACACACACACGCACACACACAAGTTTAATGAACAATAATTTCTGAGTAGGTAAATAGCTATCAATTACTTAATTTTGGCTCTTTACAAAAAATCCCTCTAATGGGATAAGTTTTGCATTAATATTGAAAATCAACAAACCTCAAATATAAAAAATATGAAAAGAACCCTGTTGCCTTCAGAGCTCCTAGAATTATATACTTAGACACTCAATTTCTATCTGCATTGAGTGAATAAATATATTTTTTAAATGGGACTAAAAAGAATACTGTGTACAACTCAGGACATCATGTGCTTAGCTCACCGGTCTCAGAAAAGTGATTTTATGGTCTATGATCTTTAAAACATGAGCAGATTTGTCTGAATAATATGTGATAATTGAAATTTCTCAGACGGTAATGAAACTCTAATCAGTGTCTTGCAGTGAAAGAAAAACTTTTGAGTTAAGGCCTATTTTTCCAAAGGTTTCCACATGATCCTTCCACATGACCTTTTCCAGTCATACAAGTACATAACCTTTTTTACTGTAAACTATATACTAAGTGCTTTACATTCATCATTAAATTTACTCTTCAAGTAATCCTATGAGGTAGGTCTTATATGATTATTACCATTCCACAGATGAGGGCATTGAGGCATAGAGAGTTATATAACTTGCCTAAGAACATATAGCTAGTAAGTGCTGAAGGTAATAAGAATCAAATCTAAGTCTATCAGACTACTAAACAAGTGTTCTTAATCTTTACACTTCTGATTTCCTAACTTCTTTGACCTTACACCCCAGCAGTAAAAAAAATTTTTACTGGTACACACATGTTCTACTAGACTAACATATTATGAAAATATTATGTACATTCTAAAACATGCAAAGATTGAAATTTTAAGAGGATAAGAAACCATAAATAGAAATAGAAGCACCCATAGTTTTATCACATGCTCCATGTGATAACATATCACAACATATCACATCATCTTGCACAAACCCTGTGTGCTGAATGTCCATTCTAGAGAATGTTGCTCTAGATTCTCTAGAAATTGTTTGATTTTTTTTAAATGAAAATATTATTCACAGCTTTTGCCAAATCTAGTATACTAGTATCATACTATGTTCAAACATAGTATACTAGGACCAGCTTTGAGCTCCTATGAGATGCAATTTGCTATCTCTGCTCTAAATTTGCAAAGACTCTATTGATATAAAATGCCCTTTCTTTGGCATTCTTTGAAAGAAAACAGTCTTTGGAAATATTGTGTTGCTATTGCTTTATTCCTTTAACTAAACATCATCTCTTGTACTAATGTGCAGGCCACGCATTAACCATTCTCAGCACATCACAATAAACATTGTTTTGATCATGAACCTGGGCATTAAAAACCACATTGACTTCATTAAGCTTCAACTTAATTGTGCCCACTGCAAGGATTCCAGACAAACCTGCCTTCTGCAAAGCTGTATTTGGAGTAAGTATATACACCAGAGATACTGCCTCCGTTTTTTCCAATTTACAATAACTACATGACAAGACAAATTTTTTTAATGCCTACATTACTCTTGGGAAGAAAACTCTGTGCCAAAGAAACTAATTGTTTTAATTCTTCAAATCAATGAAGTATAATCTATTGAACTACTCTGTTAACTGATATACACACAGAATATGTCATTATTTCATTTTATTTATTTATTTATTTTGTCCGGTATGCGGGCCTCTCACTGTTGTGGCCTCTCCCGTTGCAGAGCACAGGCTCCGGACGCGCAGGCTCAGCGGCCATGGCTCACGGGCCCAGCCGCTCTGCAGCATGTGGGATCTTCCCAGACTGGGGTACGAACCCGTGTCCCCTGCACTGGCAGGCGGACTCTCAACCACTGTGCCACCAGGGAAGCCCCATTATTTTATTTTTAAGTTTGTTCTGTTTTCCTTAATACTCTTTCACATTCAGATAACATAAACTTGCAACACACAAACACCAAAGTATGTCATTTACAACATAAGAGTGAATTAGATAATTTATTTTATTATTCAGAATCAGTATACTTACTAATTTTTATTTATACTCTGACTCTTTCCACAAAGGATTTAGATGGTTATATAAAAATTTTAATATCTACAATATAAAGTCTGAGAGCCAACAGTGTATCAAGCAAAGTTATGTTTTGCCATGGATGACGGTATTTTAAAGTTCTACCACAGTGCTCTTAAAAAGCAACTTCACCAGAAAACGACTAGAGTTCATCAGTGAATGTGGTAAAGTTGGAGGATACAAAATTAATACACAAAAATCTCCTGCATTCCTATACACTAACAACAAAAGATCAGAAAGAGAAATCAAGGAAACAATCCCATTTACCATCGCATCAAAAAGAATAAAATACCTAGGAAGAAACCTACCTAAATTTAGAGACAAAAGACCTCTTTTCTGAAAACTATAAGACGCTGATGAAAGAAACCAGAGATGACACAGATGGAAGGATATACTATGTTTCTTGGATTGGAAGAACCAATATTGTAAAAATGAATATACTACCCAAGGCAATCTACAGAGTCAATGCAATCCCTATCAAATTACCAATGGGATTTTTCATAGAACTAGAACAAAAAAATTCTAAAATTTATATGGAAACACAAAAGACCCTGAATAGCCAAAGCAATCCTGAGAAAGGAAAAAGGAGCTGGAGGAATCAGACTCCCTGACTTCAATTATACAACAGAGCTACAGTAATCAAAACAGTATGGTACTGGCACAAAAACAGAAATATAAATCAATGGAACAGAACAGAAAGCCCAGAAGTAAACTCATGCACCTATGGTCAACTAATCTATGACAAAGGAGGCAAGAATATACAATGGAGAAAGACAGTCTCTTCAATAAGTGGTGCTGGGAAAACTGGACAGCTACATGTAAAAAAAAATGAAATTAGAACACTCTCTAACACCATACACAAAAGTAAACTTGAAATGGATCAAAGACCTAAATGTAAGGCCAGACACTTTAAAACTCTTAGAGGAAAACATAGGCAGAACACCCTTTGACATAAATTGCAGCAATATCTTTTTGGATCTACCTTCTAGAGTAATGAAAATAAAAACAAAAATAAACAAATGGGACCTAATTAAACTTAAAAACATCTGCACAGCAAAGGAAAACATAAAAAAAATGAAAAGGCAACACAGAATGGGAGAATATTTGCAAATGAAGCAACTGACAAGGAATTAATCTCCAAAATATACAAACAGCTCATATAGCTCTCTTCCAAAAAACAAACCACCTAATCAAAAAATGGGCAGAAGATCTAAATAGACATTTCGCCAAAGAAGACATACAGATAGCCAAAACGCACATGAAAAGATGCTCAACATCACTAATTATCAGAGAAATGCAAATCAAAACTACAATGAGGTAGCATCTCACACCAGTCAGAAAGACCATCATCAAAAAGTCTACAAACAATAAATGCTGGAGAGGGTGTGGAAGAAAGGGAACCCTCCTACACTGTTGGTGGGAATGTAAAGTGGTATAACCATTATGGAGAAAAGTATGGAGTTTCCTTAAAAAACTAAAAGTAGAACTACCACATAATCCAGCAATCCCACTCCTGGGCATATACCTGGAGCAAACTCTAATTTGAAAAGATACATATACCCCAACGTTCATAGCAGCACTATTTACAATAGCCAAGACATGGCTAAATGTCCATCGACAGATGAATGGATAAAGAAGATGTGGTACTTATATACAATGGAATATTACTCAGCCATAAAAAAAGAATGAAATAATAATATTTGCAGCAACATGGATGGACCTAAATTATCATACTAAGTGAAGTAAGACAGAGAAATACAAATATCATATCACTTATATGTGGAATCTAAAAAAAAGGATACAGGGGCTTCCCTGGTGGCGCAGTGGTTGAGAGTGCGCCTGCCGATGCAGGGGACACGGGTTCGTGCCCCGGTCCGGGAAGATCCCACATGCCGCGGAGCAGCTAGGCCCGTGAGCCATGGCCGCTGAGCCTGCGCGTCGGGAGCCTGTGCTCCGCAACGGGAGAGGCCACAACAGTGAGAGGCCCACGTACCGCAAAAAAAAAAAAAAAAGGATACAAATGAGCTTATTTACAAAACAGAAATAGAGTCACAGATGTAGAAAACAAACTTATAGTTACCAGGGGGAAGGGGGAGGAGGGATACATTGGGAGATTGGGATTGACATATACATACTACTATATATAAAACAGATAACTAATAAGGACCTACTGTATAGCACAGGGAACTCAACTCAATA